GATCGCCCACATGGCGGCGATTATGAAGCGCGCACACGAGAGTTTAGCCGACTCCCAGACTCGCATGGCCGCACGAGCGAACCGATCACGAATGGATCATCCATTCAAAGTCGGTGACGATGTGCTCGTCGACGCACGCCACTTACAGCTCGAAGCAGATACGCTTCGCAAGTTCAGGCGTCGTTTCTTCGGTCCATGCCGCATCCTTCAAGCCGTTGGTTCTGATACTGCCGCTAGTCCGGTCACCTTCCGTGTAAAGCTACCTGATTACCTCCGACAGGCTCGCGTACACGATGTTTACCACGTCTCCTTGCTGCGTCCTTATTGCAGACCGTCCGAGCGCTTCGTCGGACGCCCTTATGAGCGCCCTCCACCTATCATGGTGGATGGTCACAAGGAGTTCGTTGTTTCCGACATCGTATCACGCCGAGTTACCGACGATACCCCTCCACGCATCGAGTACCTAGTGCGTTGGAAGGACTACCCTGATGAGGAGGCTACTTGGGAGCCCCTCGAGCACTTGCAGCACGCCAGGATGTTGGTGCGTGCATATGATCGTGCTCGTCGTGGTGAGACATCTGCTTCTACTCAGCCGAMTGACCTTCTTCCTCCTCCTCCGGTTGAGGAGATTGCTAAGGACGAGCTCGCTCCCTCTGAGGCCGTTCCTCAGCCGCAGACGGTCGCCTCCGAGAGTCCACATCGCACTCATCGTTGCCCTTCGCCTTGTGATGACTGACACTCTTATCCTCTATCTTTCCCCACTGACTCACACCATCAGGAACTCCATCATCATCTCTTCTTCAGGATGTCAGCGTTTTGCGGCTCTGCTTCGACATCGACTCCATTGCTACTTCATCGACGTCATCGACCACTTCGACGACTTCAGCTACTTTGGACGTGACTACTTCACGTCACCACCCTACCCTGCATACTCCCTTGCCTCTGTCGCATGATGGTTCTCACTTAGCTGGGTCTCTTTGAGTTTGGCTCTCCCTTGGTATCGCATAGGCATTGGGACCGTAGCGTTATCTTGGCTTCCTTGCTCCCWGATCTAGCTCCCTCTCCCAGTCGGTGAGTTGTGTGCATGTTTCCCTCACCCACTGCCCTCATCACCCTAGCGCCGGCTATTGCATGCCTCCAGTTCGACATAGCTCCACCCTATTCCAAGCTCCCCTTTTCATGGTCAACCCTGTATGGGGTCACCCTTTTGTCGAGCATTACCCGCCTTGATGGTCTATCTGTTAGGGTCATTGGTTTTGTTTCGCTACCACTCTCCCACCTTGAGCCTGATGACCTATCCCACCTTCATGTGTGACTGCCCTTAGGAGTTTCGATTCTTAGCCTGCATTCACCCCCTCTGAGACCATCCCACTCTTAGTGGTTCAGCGACATGACATTATCTTGTGACATATTGCTCTTTTCCTTTCAGCACTGAGGTCAGTGCCTCCAGGACTTTAGGATTGTATCATACTACATTTCATTTTCTGCTGTTAGCTAGGATATGTATACCAAACATTTGCTTTTCTTTTGACATTACGTAGCTTAGGATGCATCGCATGGACTCCGCATGGAGCTTGCTCCGCATCCTAGATTTCTCAGCTTTCTTTATTGCAGAGTTTCGCTGCTTTTGCGGATAGCGTGTTTATGGCTCTTGCGATCCATTACAGGTCTGAGGATCGTGCAACGGGCCTTCATCTGCCCTGGCCTACAGCCAAGGCCTATTTGGCTATTTGCCCAGTTCGGCCTGTGGGACCAGGTCATGGCCTGACCCTACAGGCCGTGTGCTGTTCTAGTCCTGCTCGGTACCACTGTCGGTACTAGACCAGTCCAGTCCAGTCCAGTCAGTCAGTCCACTGGGGGTATACCCCAGCAGTTGTCTGTTTTTCGGTATTCTTCATTTGCACAGATTGGAGTACGTGCGTGTTGAGTCTGCGTTGGAGCTGCGTTGTCCCTTCCAGCTCCATCTCCATCTCCCCCATCCTCATCCCTTCGTCTTGATCCTGACGGACCGCCATCCCGGCGGGTCCGTCACAGTGGATCTTTAAAGTGCGAATGCCGGTAAAGTTGTCTAGTTAGATGAATGTCTGTGTTCTTCCTTCAAAAAGGAACATCGGACATGAAAGTCACATCATATTGCCTTGATTTCCTTTACGAGGGCAATTCTCAAGTTGATAGGGATTGATCTTATTGTTTTGTGAACGGTGGATACGTGTGTATCGGTGTCGACGACCACGTGGACAAAGCCAGCCGGATCATCGGGGCCCCGACTTCTCAAACACCCCCGCTCACGCCCTTTCCTGCATAACAAGGACGGGACACATGTCCGCAAATGGGACATGCGTGAAGTTGTAGCCAAGATCGGCAGCCCTTACCATTTTCCGCAAGAAACACGGTGTTCTAGGGTCGTCAACTCGGGTTTTGCGATTATTGACAGTATTTTGATACCCATTTCCCTCCCTATTCCGTTGTGCTTCCTTTCAATAAGCTGATTGTCATTAAGTAGTCAACCGTTGCTCCCCATTGGCCCCGTACTTTATGCAGTGATTGTCGGCGTACGGAATGATTTAGAGCCCAGGGGTTCAACTATAGGACGCGTAACGAGAAGGAATTCAAGGAGAAAGCAGTTAAACTGCATCCCTCTGACTCGGATTCTAAACTCTGTGAGGAACGTTGTCGAACACTTGCGCAAAACCAAGATCCCACGTACGTTCCCGCACCTTTTCGGCAAGGAAAGAGAAGTCGCATTTCTGGCAACGAAGTTCAAGGATATTTTTTGGATTGTATTAGTCATTACTCCGGGTTCTTTTCATCCTTTCCCACTTTACTCGTTGCTCCATATCTGGGACCACGCAGGAGATTCCAGTTCAGCCCTGAAACTCCACACTCAATTTTCCAAAAATCCTTAGTACACCCCAATTGCTGCTTTCTAGGCCCTTTTCCGCATTTTAGTCACTCTGACAGAAAAGCAGTGTAGGGCGTGAGGTTATAAGCGTCAGMCACCACCACMACCACCACCACMACMACMRCMACMACMACMACCAYSASMACCACMACYRCMACCACCACCACMACMACAACAACAACCACCACCACAATAACAACCACCACCACCACCACAACAACAACAAACACCACCACCCGAAAAACAACAACAACCACGACCACCACCACAACTGCAACAACAACTACCACCACAACAACGACAACGACAACGGCAACGGCAACAACAACGAGCTGAAAAAAAGGCAGCACTAAAAACAAAGCAACATAACAAAAAAAACATAATAAAAATGAGAATCCTCAAACAGAGCGTACCTTTTCAGGTAGAGAGGCGCAACTCCTAAGACCTTCCCACTTGAATCTTTAGCTATCAGATGTTGTGGGTACCAGCCTTCTCCCTGAAAACGGACGGTCCACCGCAGAAGTAAGGAACAAGGAACACACGCCACAGGGAACAAGGAACGAGGACCACAAGGCAGAAAGAACAAGCAACGCAAGGGACAAGGGGCAAGGAACAAGGAACAAGGAACAAAAAATGGAGATCCAGGAACAAGGAAGAAAGAGCAAGGAACAAAAGGGGCAAGGAACAAACAACCAGGAACAAAGAACACAAGGGGCCAGGAACTAGGAACAAGGTATAGACCGGAGACACCACAGTGACGAAGACTAAGAATAGCTAAGTCCACAGCTCCTCCAGAATGCCTGATTATACGCCTTACAGGTGGGTAGCACGTAGCCCCGGTATCAGCACCTACTTCCACTAAAGCAGAACTTAGGACCTCGCATTCTACATGCATTTGGACAGTTTCTGGACCAGGTGCATTCCGACAAGACCGACATTTTGAATGCATAGGGACGGTTACGAGTTCCAGATACATACATACAGTGTTGACTTAGGACCTCGCATTCTACATGCATTTGGACAGTTT